TTATTTGTCCTAAGTGAGGCGTTAGGTGCACATATGTGATCTCAATATATAGCCTTATCTGTCCTCTAAAAAAAACAAAATGTATGAAAGTATATTACTGACGTGAAAGAATCACACAGCAAAAATGTCAAAAGTGTGTCAGTCATTTACGAACAGAAACTAAAAACAAGCTCAGTCATTTAAAAAATGAATTGTTTGCCTGCTTACATGTCTAGTCTAAATAACATTGTTTCTCTTTAGTATCCAGCCAGTATACCCCAAACATCCACTAAAAGCCCAACTTCAGCCAAAAATTTGTGAACAGGATAGGGCAGGGATATTTCTTGCAGTCCCTACTGGAGTGATTTCCATTCACATCCTGCCTGTACAGTAAATAACGGAATCAATTTCAAAAGCAGACACAAACTGCAACAAAACATTTTTTTTTCACAAAAAGGGAGGGAGGGTAAGAATCTGTCAGAATATTACTACTGTCTGTCTTTCTGTTTGGATATCATCCACTCCTCTCATTTCTTGTCCTGTTGTCACAGGGACAGAAAGTAAGGAGGAATATACCCAATTGGGTAACAGGCAGCATTTCAAGTTTGACAGAAATATTAACTATTCCCAGGTCTATCTAAAACATTTTTTAAAAGTTTTGACTGGAGCTTGGTCTTAAGCCCAAAACCTACATCCTGTAAAATCAGTCTACACAAAGATATCAAGAATTAACTAAAAAGGGAGCAGATCCAGATTCCTCCCAGGAAATTGATGGATTATAAAGAAACATGTGTTTTAAAAAAATCATATACAGCAAATCATGGCAAACTTTAATACCAATTGTTTTCAGTTTTTCCAACTGCTGTTTATTGATGGAAAAATAGTTTAACAACCAAATACATCTTTCATGTGCCATTGAGTTTTTTTAATCCTAACCAAAAGGAAGCAAGATGTAATCAACATGTAGAACTATCATGTCTTATCCTTTTTCTTTCATCACTGTTTCCGTTCTATTTTTTTATACAGTCTCTTCAAACTGAGAAGCTAGCAAACCAACCAAACTAGATGAAAACCTTAGCATGTATTTTATTTTTATACGCTAGATTGGTATTATGGCATACTGAACCTGTCTTCAAGTATTGACATATATACAATTTCTAGAAAATTATTACTAAGAGAAAACATTATCTTTTACTGAAGGACATGATATTACTATTTTCATGAAGTTAGTTCAAATATTATGTATTTATGCAGTTGGTTCTTTTACTATACATTTTAATGCCTTGGGATGTCATATCTATAAGATAGAGAATATCAGTCATTGCTTGATTGTACATATAAAAGGTACAGCTGGGTGACTAGATGAAACATAAACTAATCTCAGTTTTCTGCCTTTGAGGCAGATAGAAAAGGAAAGTTCACTTTAATCCTCAGGACATACTAGTTGAAGATTACTCTTGTGTATCACTGCAAGGGTTTATGCTTGAAGCAGTGTATAAAACTCTTTCAAGCTTCTTACTGTCTTATTTTCTCAATACTCACTTTAGTGATTTTCTTCTGTCGCAGTTGATTTATATTTTAAGACCCAATGGCTTTCTTTTTTTATATGAAAAGAATAAAAAAAGGCAAAATACTTATATATTTAGAATAGCACAATCAGATGTTTCTGACACTAAGGGGTTGATTTACTAACCTAAACACACGCATGCACCAGGTGCGTGTGATTTTCACACAGCAAAACGTATTTATCAACCAAAAAGTCTCTAAAAGCATATTTCCACTAATGCCATATATGGAAAAATCATGCACATGATGCATATATAATGCTGCTTCACAGTTTAGACAAAAATGGTTAGCTCATGCATTTACATTCCTGCATTCATCAGCGCAAGCAACACAACATAGAGCTAATTTACACAACATCACCTTGCAATTCATGCAAGGCTTTGCACAACACACCTGCTGGGTGTGTACACACTACAACGTTGTTTAGATTCCACCCATAGATCATGCTGGGAGGGAACACACTACAGCGGTGTATACATGTTCGTGGTGTGTTTATAAGGTTAGTAAATCAACCCCTAACAGTTATCAGCCTTTTCAGGTCTATGAAAATCATTGAATTTGGCTCTGATATCTTACCTCGGTAGTTGATGAAATGGGTAAAAGTAAATACACTGTGGAAATGCATACACATGTATTTGCCAAAGCATGTTTCATTCTATTCAGTCAATTTTATGGTGTACACTTCTCTGCCAAGCTGAATCTTGCTTATTTCTTCTGGCCTTCAAGGCTAATAGGCAAGATATTGTTTAAAAAGGGTATGGGTAGCTGGGCACTACCATGGAGGATATGTGCCAATGCATAAAGAAATAAAATGAAATATTGTTCAGTTGACAAAGAGTCTTTATATGGGTATTAAACGGCAACATTGAAAATACTCCGATATTTTAAATTACAAACATGGGGGGGCCTAAAGCTGCATGTGCTGTTACAAAACAATAGAATGTATTCTTTTAACCCTTTCGCTGCGAAGGTGTTTCTGTGTTTATTTTGCACATGTTGTAATCCACATTCTAGGCCTGAAAATTGCTTCAAACCCCCAAAAGTTATATTATTCCCTGTAGAATAAAATTGCAGCAGTTACAAATTTTTGCGGTGCATGATTTTAACGCAACACTTTATAAAACACAACACTTCAGTAAAAATTACACATAAGTTAATTTTAGTACAAAAAAATAATATAATACCCTTATTTGTAACATATAAAAGATAATGGTATTCCAAGTAAAAAGATTCTCAACATGCCAATCTTAAAAATTGTGTGTACCCTTTGAAACTGCGACAAAATATGGGCCCGTTGCCAGTGACGTGTGGCATACATCATTGGCAGTGAAGGGTTAAAAGTGACATTTCAAAAAGATAATGTGGAGTTCCCCTAAATGTTCTAACAAGAGCTTTGTTCAGGCATGCAGCCTGGTTTCCAGGAAAGGGACAGCAGTGAGCATGTGAAACCCTCTTCCTTCCTGTATTTTTAAGAAATATATCAAAATAAACAAGGGTATTCAAATTATTTTTCACGTTGCTTATGGCCTGTTAATTTGGGTCCAAATTGCAATTTTACAATAGTGGGATATGATCAAATGGGTTGAACCACAAAATCTGATTGGTGGGTGATTACACATTTAACAAGACAATCTATAAGTTTAAAATCATGTAAGGTAAGTAATGACTAATTTTAATGGTATGCTGCACAAAGTTATGTAACACAAGTAAGCAGAAAATGCAATGGTTGTGTAAAATACAGTAATGGTTATTACTGTATTTGATTTCAGTTTACTGTACTCAGGTAGATGACAGTTGAATTTTTATTAGTTATCACAGGTCACTGCAGATTGCCGTTTACTGTAAATAAAACATGTATCTGCATGCAATAAAACACAGACTGTAAGAATGTCACTCAGAGCACCTTCAGATGCACACCATCTAAAGGTACTTAACTTTTTTAGGGATCCAAATGAGGCGATGATTATTCATAATTTTTGTAAGGTTATACATTTTTCTTTAACTACCTCCCGGACGGCCGTTGTGTATACACGGCCGGCAGGGAGCTTCTTGGATGTAACTGGGCGTGTATACACGTCCTGTTGCATCCGCCGCGGCACGCGCGAGCGGGAAATGCCCGTGATTTGAAAACAGGCAGCGATGCCCGTTAATATACAAGTGATCCGCCGGCTATAGAGCCAGCGGATCGCTTGTATGAGGTCCCGTGACGTGCGCCCCCCCTCCACGGCTCCCCCCTCCCACTGTCAAGCTGGTCCCGGGCTCCGGTGTGAGCCCGGGACCAGCATACTGCTTCTGTCACAGGGGATCAGAGGTAGGTCAGTTCACGACCTCCCTCCGGTCCCCTCTCAGCTGTCAGAATGCGGAAGTGGTGTATATTACATCACTTCCGCATTCTCGTGTCACTCTCCAGCTTCAGATGCTGGAGAGAAGCTGATGAAGCAGATCTCTGCTTCATCAGCTTCTTCAAGGGGGTCCTAGGTGACATTAGGGGTCTTGGAGACCCCTGATGTCTCCATGAAGAGGACCTGTCACCTCTTTTGCTATCACATAGAGGGGTCTCTCAGCCCCCTCTGTGATAGCAATAAAAGTAAGTGAAAAAAAAAATAGGAAAAAAATGTAAAGTTTCCCCCCAAATTTTTTTAAAGTTACACATAAAAAATAATTAAAGTCCCCACCCCTACATACACGCATGTAAACATGCGTCAGGTGCGCATACCTGCGAAATCGATTGCGCCCATGACGCCGGACATGTTACATATCACCGCAAACGTCGGAATGAGAGCAATAGTTCTAGGGCCATCAATCACTGATAACACTAAACTGATGAGCTGTAAAAGCTTTTAAAGCGTCGCCTATGGCCAATTTTGGGTATGCTAGTTTTTTGAGATTTCGCGAGTGCGCGCAATTTTTAAGCTTGACATGTTTGGTGTCTATTTACCCGACGTGACCCCGTCTTTTATATTTTACCAAAAAGTGGGTAATATTAGTTGTTTTATATCATAATGTAAAAAAAATTTCAGTAATTTCTCCTGAATATAGTAAAAAATAAAACCCCCAGTGGTGATTAAATACCACCAAAAGAAAGCTCTATCTGTCCCCAAAAAATTGTATAAAATTCATTTCAGTACAACGTTGCATGACGGAATAAATGTCAGTCAAAGTACTGCAGCGCTGAACACTGAAAAATGGCCTGGCCAGGAAGGGGGTCTAAACACCTGGTCTTCAAGCGGTTAAATAATAAACCTCTCTGTTTACATGTTTACCTCAGACATTATCTATGTACTGTAGGGTCAGATATATCAACTTACAGATAGATAGTTACACCTTAGTTTATATTGTAATACTTTGGAGTTTTGTCCACCAAAGTGTTAACTGTTACCAAACAGTTAAATGTAGTTAATGTTGCTGCCTAGTTTGAGTCACTCAATATATTTCTTGTTTTTTTCTATCAACAGAAAGCTGATCTTGCAGTTGCACCACTGGCTATTACCTATGTGAGAGAACAGGTCATCGACTTCACCAAACCATTTATGACTCTTGGAATAAGTATTTTGTACCGAAAGCCTAATGGTACAAACCCAGGCGTCTTCTCCTTCCTGAATCCTCTTTCCCCTGATATCTGGATGTATATTCTGCTGGCTTACTTGGGTGTCAGTTGTGTGCTCTTTGTCATAGCCAGGTAACATAACTAACACTGTGATTGTTTGACAGTTATGCTCTATTAAATCTGAATATGTAACTGTCAAATGTCACAGGTTCTCTACATTCTGCTTTGTTTCAATATTGCTGTTATGATGTGCAAGTCATTTAAGGCTGTCACCAAAAATTGTTTGCCTATGATACTTATAGTGCTTAATAATGTACATTATCACAACTATGTTTGCTGCAGCTAAACCAATATTAACCAATAACAGCTAAGTTAGTGCTTAACATGACAAGTGCATGTCACACTCTGTTCTGAATCTTACTCCACAAAAATCTTGCATGAATAAATCTATCCCTTCTACATGACCCAAACTTTCTGAGCCACACACATCTTAATAATGCTTGTATAACCCTTGTTCAAAATTATTCAACCTATAAGCCAACATATGCTTAATTTGTGGAGGTGAGCTTCAAGCAGTGGTGAAGCATGCAATACCTTCCTCAAGCTCGCTAAAGCTGCAGAAAGTGTTCCTATTAAGTTCTGTTTTCAGCCTTCCCAGACTGTAGCTGAAGGATTTAAAGCCTTTCAAGAAAACTGCTCATTGAATTTGATGTACTTCAGACTAGCATTTACAAAGCAATGCCAATGTGTGCAATGTGTATAAAGCATATTCTGTGACTGAAATGATCTAGGAATGTTCTATAAAATAATCCAATCTGCCATATATTGGGTATATTGCCCCCTCACTTCCTTCAAGGTCTAGGTCCCATGTAACACTAGCAACATTTTAAGTTATATAGAGTGCACACAACTTTTCCAATAGTGTCACTTATTAACTGGCCAAACTAGCAAGATTTGCATCCATTACTCTTCCATCTAAAAGATTAACAGGGTTATTCACAAAATAGTGAAATTTCGAAGAAGGCAGGATAAATAAATAATCTAGGCCAAAATAGCTGATTTGGAAAAATTGTCCAATTCCGCTTACTTTCCAGTTCAGCTATGTTGTCCTAGATTGTTCACCTGTCATTCTGTCTTCTCCAAAATCGTCATGCTTTTGTGAATAAGATAGGATTCTGCAGGTAATAACTTTCATTATGTAGAGAAGCAGCTGCCTCTTGGTGATTCTGCCTTTGGTAAAAATGTTGAATTGCCCATGTAACATGTGCCTAACACTGCACCTCTCTATGGAAAATAGAGAAAATGTTTGGATGCAGTTACACTTTATTGAAAAGCTATTTAAGATGAAGCTCTAAGGAATGGAAATAAACATGCTAACAACAATCATAGTTTTTTAGCCTTTTTAAAAATGACATTAGAAGTGGAAAGGTTTTAAAGTAGCGATAAGAGAATTCAGATACACATAGCTATGCTGGCTTTGAGGCTGACACTACAGAGCAGTTATTTAAAAGTCTGCTTAGACTCTGTGCTGTAAAAATCAAAATTGTTCCTCCATAATGTTGCTTATCAAAATATGAATAGTGTTTTTGCCTAGCACTACTGAGGCACATTTCCCTGACTTTATAAAACCGCTTAACTTTTCATGTGCTGGCTCACAGCCAAACAGCAATTTTGCGTTTCACTAAAATATTTCCATTCCCATTACAGTATTACTATCTGAACTGTTTTTTTCAGGCAGTTTAAGAGGCACTTTTTTAAGTCATAAAAGAGATACATCACCAACCATCTTTCAGTGCAGGTTACTATGCTCTGTTAATAAATAATAAATTCACTTTGATTTAGCTCCCATCTTTATTTAATAGAATTCCCAATTTATTCCGGATGGTTTTAGCCTTCAGAAAATATTTCCTACTATATACAACAGCTTTCATTTCTTACTCTAGAAATGTATGAGATTAGCAGCCAAAAATGTAAATGTCAATGACATTTAAATACATAATACCTAAGTGTTCTGAAGTTATTCTTAGAGATTCAAAACATATTATGTGACATCTATGTAAATACATAAACAATGCACATAATATTTAAAGGACATTAACGTGCTTTAAACATGAATCTATTAATTTTTTGAGGGTACATATATATGTCCTGAAAATACCAAATTATATTGTGACCATTGCATTTGTTGACTGACCAATTAATTCATCATTAGTAGTATCATTAGCAGTAGCAGTAGCAAGTTTATCCTTTCACATACAAGTATGTTCCAATATGTTGGAACATTTCTTTGCAACTGGGTGAAAAATGTTTCCTTTTCTGTATGGAAAAGTGAATAATGTTTTCTTTTCACTACACAGCTTTTGCTTGTTTGCTGAATAAATGGGAAGATCATGGTGACAACACTCTGCAAATACAAGGGAGGGTGGATACATGTTTCACTCACTTTATAGTTCTAATTTCTATAGAGACATGATTGCAGATATAAATTGATTAAATGGCAGTAGCTTTCACAAGGGTCAGTAGATCATTTAGATAGAAAGCTTCCTTTTTATGTGTTGCTTTTGCTCTGAGATATCCAAACAACTAGGACAAATGCTAATTTTTATGCTTGAACTAAATCATAGAAATTATCAGTTTTTCTATCAATCTCAACGGAGGAGACAGATTTTGACCTTGCAGTACTTTGTCAGATACTTATCTTTTTCCTGCAGGGAACCCTTTACCCTTTGATTAGATAGTTAGATAAGAAGGGGGAAATAACAGAAGGATTGATGTAATAGCATAGAGGGACAAAGGGTTTGAATAAACATTCAACTTCACTACTGTAAATAAAGGGAAATATTGTTGCAGTATCAGTTACTAATGTTGGGACAGTTAGAGACAAAGTTGAATGGATGATCTTGCAGCTATGCTTAATTGATTATTAGAAAGCACAAACATGCAAATCAGGGTTCTAGGCTAAAAGGACAGTGGTTTTAATGTAAATCCATTTCCAGACACATATCTCTCAGTGTGTTGTTATTTAATCAGTACAAATCCCTGGAAGCTTTGTGAGAGATTACCATTAAAGCTAGTGCTAGCTATATCTAAATGAACAAGTGCCTTGTACCCCCAATTAATCCTTTTTTGTTAAACAAAACATCTAATTAGTCATGCTCTAAAGAGGGTGATACTTATTCCACAAAGGCTAGGAGATATCATGATTTGTAAATTACAGTAGCGCATAGCAGACAATCAGATTCCAGTCTATTGTATTTATATTAGATAAACCATTTAACTAGTTGATGTCAGTACCAGCTTTTTGTGCATCATCATTGCTAATTAAAGTGCTTTTTCTTCTAACACACAGTTAGGTTAGGAGATCTTTATTCTTCATAAACCTTTCTTAACTTGAATTTGCATAGCCTTGGGCATCGAAAAGGCATCAAAGGACATAAGGAAGGAGGTATGTGCTTATTAAGGACAAGACTGTGGTCCTGCAAATGGCCATGCATGACAGTCAATGCATCTTTCATATATTCATGACTAAATGTAGATTAACTAAGCTAGTGGATGCTGGATACTTTCTAAATGTGTTTTTGATGCAAGCAGTTGAGGCTATAGTTTTTTTAAGTGAATCTGGGCTTTGGCCATGCAGGGCAAAGCAGCAGGTTCAATTTAATATAAACATCCAAAGATGCATATACTTACCGTCCTTCCACAACCCTGCTGCTCTGTCCAGGCACCAGAAGAGAAAGGAAAGTTGTGTGTAAGCTACAAATCATCAGAGTCATGGCTTATACAGGGTTATGAATTCCCATGTGACAATACAACAATCCACCACTCACACCAAGCCACCCATACATTAAGAATATAGTGTTGACTTATACTATGCTTATTAAAAAAAATCCTTACCATGGTTTAAAATGATTGGCATACAAATACAGATTTTGTAACTTTTCTATAAATCTGTCCAGTATGTTAATCTTAATTTCTTGTTCAATTTATTGTTTGTCAGTGTTAGCTGCCTGCATTTCTGCTTGCTCAGCTTTTGGAGACCTCTTGTGTATTGCTTCTTTCAGAGCTGATTCAGAGCTACAATAAGTAGAACAACAAGAATAGAACAGATCAACAAATGAAGATTAAAAGACCAATGAATTCCAAAGGGGAAACAAGGGCAAACACATAGGTTTAGTTCAACAGCCACAATAAAAACAGTGAGTTGTCTAGGCAATAAAGTGAAATAAACAAGTCAGGAATATACCGTGTAAAAAATCATACTACTAATCCTTGAATAAGCTGGATATGCTTGGCATTCAAAGAAGGAATAATTCTTAAAGCAGGGTACTACAATGTTTTGAATAAAGACAAAATAGTGAATAATATATAATGCCAAGTATAAATATGTATATCCAAAATAATTCTGGAGCTTACAAACCACATTCAAAGACAGATAAAGAAAGCTGATTATGTTTCTAAAACCTTAAGTTATTTTTACATTGAAAACCTATACAAACCTTAAACATGCTTTTTTTATTGTTATGAGAAAAAAGGAACATTCTCTTTAACATTACTGGATGTTTATTCTTTATGTAACAATATTGAATGCTGCGTAGATTATTTAGGTAAGTGAATTATCACAGGTAAAAACACAACAAAGACAAATTTAAAAGCAAACATGAAAGAAAAGCTTACTTTTTAGACTTCTAAACAATTCTTGGTGAGAGCCTCATTGACTTTGAACTAATGTGTTATGATTATTGTACATTGGATTTTATTTAATAAGCATTGGGGTATTATCTTAAGCAAGTCAAACATGGCTAGATTTCTCTCATTCAGCCTGAATAAGTGAAATCATAAAATTCTTGCATCCATGGTAAGCAGCATGGAATCTCCCCTGAAGGCTGTTGTATTTAAACAGCCAGAACCTGTGGCTGTCTGAATACCGGAATAGTGAGTGTGTCTGATAGGATGCAGTCACTGTTTGACTTACAGTTTTCCACTTTGCTCCTTTAATTCTTCAATTGATTTTTGTGGAGATGGTTTGTGCTGACAGGGCCTCACATAGCTCATATAGTCAAAATAAATTTGAGCTGTAAAAGGCCAGTGCTTTGCAGGGATAACATTAGAGATGTTGTGCCAGATTATTAAAT